GGACATTATCAACAGGACATAGGCTTCTTCTATAACAGTTCTGAAAGCTACAGTAAGAAGCCAATGCTAGTTGATACGAATCCAGAGGACATGCTGCAGTGCTTTAAAATTCTTATTTCTGAAACAAAAAATCCTCCTCCTTAATGAACAGCTTCTAACCAGCTGGTCTTCAAGTAGTCCAACAATTTTGTGTTATCCCTAAAAACTATGAAATTGTTCCCATGACTACTACTTTACAGCACTCTGATTAGCAGGACAGTACAAATGATTTGTGACGCACACTAATTGTACAAACATACACCTTAACAAGACAGACTTTGCTGTACAGTTTCCCTTTTAAATTGAGTTTTACAGCCATGCACAATTTTGTCGCTGAAATCAAAACCAAGATTAAATGTCAAGAACATTAGTACTATGTAGTACTATCCTACCACTGCTGCATTCACATAATAGTCAAACAAAGAATACAAAGGATTTTCAGAGATGTCAAAATGTCAGATTGTTCTAATTATACAACATAAATGTCACAATGTTTCTTTTAAAAAAAATCGATGGGTGTTTTAGAAGATAAGGTACTGTTTGAAAACTTTATAAAAACATTTTGCAAAGTGTTTTTGTACAAAGATCAATGTTATGTCAAAATCCAACACTAGTCAGTGGAAATATTAATACACACAGCACTGTACACAATTTTAATTAAAAGATCACATAGAAGAGTGTTGAAATTTAAAATAATTGGTCATGAAAAGTAACTACTGGTATCATTTACAATTTAAAAGTTCTCAATTTCAGGAAGGCCTATGTAGGGTTTAATACACCTCTATGACTGTTCAGAAAGGAGAGACAAGCTACATGTATTGGTCCTTTAAAGAAGGGTTCAACAGCAAAAAGTGCCAGTGTGAAATTCATCTTTTATGAAAAGCATTGTAGAGACAGAGGGAAAAGAAGTTCCCCTGAAAATACAATTTCCCACAGAAATCTAAAAAGCATTTTGAGCCACACATACACTTAGCTTTATTCTTAGTCTATTGGTCCAGAATTCTATCTCCTATTAACGTGAGACAACTATATTAGTATAGCAAGCATGAAAAAGAAGAGGTTAGCATACAGGCTTGTTCTGATATGAGTTGGGCAGAGCCCTTTTAGATGATTTCAGAGTGGATTTTCTTTTCTTAGATGTAAAATTCTTTGTCATAGAGTGAATGCATTTAGAAGTGTTAAACTAACACCAAGTATTAAATGCATGATCGTTTAAATGATGCAATATTTCTGGTATATCATAAAACTTTATGTGCAAAAGAGTGGGAGCTTTTTGTCCCTAAAAGATCTTTTTACCCATCAGAATTCTGTATTTGATGTGCTTATTACAGATTTGGATACTATGCAATTATCTCCCTCATACCCTGAAAACAAAGATTTTATTTTTAAGTCAGACTAAAACCTGCTTGCTTTAAAAACTAAAAAAAATCCACTAATGGAGAAAAGAAAAAAAGATTTAAAAGGCTTGGCCTCGCTGCCACTTTAGGCACTATACATTCTTCATCATTCACTTTTTTTTATTACATGTACTGTGATCAGACCCATAGAGGATCTTTTCTTGCCCAAATACTTCAAATGAGATACCGAGAGCAATACAGTTAGCATACAACCGGAACTAGCTTCCTTACCATTTACCTAGTTTTACTCCCCCAACTCCTCACACATTGATCAATCTGAACACTACAAATAGCCTGTTGTCAGTTTCACACAGAGTTATATACTCTACAACAAGGGCTGCTGCATTACTACAGGGGAACTACTTATTGAAATAATGTATTTTTTAAAACTTTGAAAACATTCCTATTTGAATTAGGAGTAATTAAATCTAAAACTGGGTTTTAAAACCAGATAGTTTCTAGTACACAATCTAAAACATGAACGAGAGAAAGCAGAAATATTTTCAGGACAACTGAATATACACAAGAAGCCATTTGAAACCTCAGAGATATTTTTCTTTTTGGTAATATATTTTCCCACAAAAATTCCATACTGATGGAACACCTTTTTCTTCTTTTTGGGTTTTTATTTGTGTGTTTTTACCCAATTTTCCCATCTGAATTTACTGAGATCCAAGGAAGTCAAGTACTTGGCAAACATTAAAGTGAGTCCATGACTCAGTCAGAATTATACCCAGAGAGAAAATCTCCCTTTCTCCTCCTTCCCAAACAAGATCATGTTTTTCACCTGTTTAACAAAAATCAAAAAATCCATTGTCCTGAGAGGTGTTCCTTATGTTTTTTTAAAAGCTTTTTTAAAAAAGTTACCTGTCTGTATGCAAACTGCTGAAAGATATGCCAATAAGAATGGAGACTATGAGCAGTAGGATCATCCCTCTTTAGCTTTGGGAGTTGCTCCATGATATTTTGTGTATAATGGACTTGATCATAAAGAGATGTTGAGCATCTGCAACTTCTACTGAAACTTGAGGGAGAGGGAGAGGGAAAGGGAGAGGGAGTGAGTGTTTAGAGGGAAACAAGCATGAATGTCTTCACTGGAAACAGAATGCAATGTCAGCAGAATTTGTATTAATGTTGTAAGATCAAAGATGACATTCTCTATTGACACTTAGGATTTGCTGTGAGGAGATCATTTTAGCCTTCCTTTTAAATAAAAAAGAATATTGTATTTCCTATGCAGCCTTGTTTCTAGGTTTGAAAAAACCTCATGTTTCTAGGCCAGAACTATAAGTTATCCCCTTGTTACAAGACCTATATTAGCCATCTGAAACAAGAAAAGTTCTGAGGTAAATTTAAACATTCCCCTCATTTCTGGTTTGTAACTTGGGGGATTTTAGGAGAAACACCACCACTGTCAAATTCAAATGCTACAGTGTGGTTTTGTGTGGCTCAAGAATATTAAGGTATTGTCAGACATGCTGAAGTAAAGAAAAGCTACTGACTCAGGTGACCATCTGAGATGCTAGGGAGGTTGTCAGCAGTGACACATACAAAACAGCTTTGAAAGCACTGGCCACAAAACAATGACATACTACAGCTGCATATTACACTAATACAAATTACATTGCCATTTTGGACATTAAAGATGGTCTCAATAAAAAAAGGCACAGTTCCTTACAAATGTGCATAGGAAAAGAAAATAATCAGCCTCTGCCACAGTGTAGGATTCCATGCACAGCATCATTAAACAGCTAAGAAAAAACCTTTTTAGCATATCCACATTTTAAGGTGAACTAAAATGGCGTTTACAACCTTTCATTGCCAAAATACAAATCACATCTCTCCTACTCCAGTTATAAATACTGTGTGGTTTTTAATCCTTACTATCCAAGTGATCAAAAGCATCTTTACACTCTGAAAACCCAGTAATGGAAGTTATCTTTAAAACTTGGTAGGAAAGACCACATTTTCACTGGGAAATGAGGCTTATACTTCAGTCACGATAGCCTTCTGGGTAGCTGTGCATGCACATTCATCTTTTGACCTGTAATCCAAACTGAAGGTAAAATCCTTTTTCTAGGTTGTTCACACGTCTCAAAGAACAGCCCCTCCACACACACACAAATACTTGGCTGTACACGGTCGAGGTGGCTGTGCCCTCACAGGGCACAGATCTTGCATACCTTATTGCCACATTTGCATGGCTCACACTGAGTACACTATGAGAGCTAATCACTGGTCCTGCAGCTTTTCTTTTTTAGCATCTGATTCTAAAACTTCCATGGTTCTGTTAAGGTCAGGAAGGTCATGATGATTAGCAAGATCCTCTTTGTTCTTTTGGTCCTGATCAGGCATGATGTCAACTTCCTCCACTATGGCACCATTGGTTAACAGAGCAGGTGGTTCACTTTCATAATCCTGGGGAGTGTTCAACATCGGCGTTTTGGAAGACTCAACCGAGGCATTTATAATTTTAGATAAGGAGCAAACTTCATCTGGCAGGGGACCATCTAGGAAGGGCAACTTCTGTATCAGCAGAAAAGAATTAATGAACAAGATGAACAAAAGCTGAGACACTCTGACATCAAGGTCTTATTTGAACACATTAATAGTACTGAAAACACCCTCATCTACCAGTTGTGAACACTGGCTTGGGATGGGTAAAAGGCTGCTAGTGGGCTGGATTTGGCCTGCCAAGCCACTAGATCAGGCCCGCAGCAGACTCACCAGGACCCTTAGGCAGAGAGCAGCTCATATAGCTCTGGATGTCTGGGGAGCGAGGAGGGAGGCTTTGAACTCTGCCCCCATCCCTCAGCAAAATTTCTCAGCTCCCACTGGCCAGTTTCTGGCCAATAGAGCGGAGAAATTTTGCTGGAGGCATGGGCAGCATGTGAAGCCTCCCTCTTTCCCCTCCCCACTATGCCCCGAGCAGACTCGTGTGGAGCAGCCATCCGACAGATTTCAGCACAGAGGCAAAGAGTGTGTTTCAGTTTCCTGCAGGGCTGCTGGCTGGGAGTAGCCTAGGTACTCTACCCCCTTTCTCCCTTCAACTACCTGCCCCAGGTCATCACCCAAACCTTCTGTACCCCTTTTCCCTTCTCCCAGGTCACAACCCTCTCCCAGATCCTGCACCTGCTCCTACACCCTTCCCTCAAGTCAGAATCCTCTCCTGCACCCTTACCCCTTCCTGAATCCAGCAACCCAAACTCCTGCCCCAGCTCACAACCCCCTCCTTCATCCAAACTGCCTGTCAGACCCCACAGGACTCCTGCATCCCAGTCCTCTATCCCAATCTCTCTTCTGCACCCAGCCTCTCACCCAGATCCTAGAAGTGCAGTCCTTGACCACTTGCCAAAATCTTGGGAGTGGAACCTCACTCTGATTCTAGGTCAATGCTCCCCAAGACTTGCATGGCATGGGGGAGCAGAGCAAGCTGGGGCTAGATTGTTCCACTTGCTGCCACTGCAGTGAAGCAGAATGCAATGGGCTGGGAGATGGATGAGGAAGCGGAGCAGGCTGCTGCATCACTCTGCTTCCTACAGCTTTTGCCCAAACTGCTGAAAGATATGCCAATAAGAATGGAGACTATGAGCAGTAGGATCATCCCTCTTTAGCTTTGGGAGTTGCTCCATGATATTTTGTGTATAATGGACTTGATCATAAAGAGATGTTGAGCATCTGCAACTTCTACTGAAACTTGAGGGAGAGGGAGAGGGAAAGGGAGAGGGAGTGAGTGTTTAGAGGGAAACAAGCATGAATGTCTTCACTGGAAACAGAATGCAATGTCAGCAGAATTTGTATTAATGTTGTAAGATCAAAGATGACATTCTCTATTGACACTTAGGATTTGCTGTGAGGAGATCATTTTAGCCTTCCTTTTAAATAAAAAAGAATATTGTATTTCCTATGCAGCCTTGTTTCTAGGTTTGAAAAAACCTCATGTTTCTAGGCCAGAACTATAAGTTATCCCCTTGTTACAAGACCTATATTAGCCATCTGAAACAAGAAAAGTTCTGAGGTAAATTTAAACATTCCCCTCATTTCTGGTTTGTAACTTGGGGGATTTTAGGAGAAACACCACCACTGTCAAATTCAAATGCTACAGTGTGGTTTTGTGTGGCTCAAGAATATTAAGGTATTGTCAGACATGCTGAAGTAAAGAAAAGCTACTGACTCAGGTGACCATCTGAGATGCTAGGGAGGTTGTCAGCAGTGACACATACAAAACAGCTTTGAAAGCACTGGCCACAAAACAATGACATACTACAGCTGCATATTACACTAATACAAATTACATTGCCATTTTGGACATTAAAGATGGTCTCAATAAAAAAAGGCACAGTTCCTTACAAATGTGCATAGGAAAAGAAAATAATCAGCCTCTGCCACAGTGTAGGATTCCATGCACAGCATCATTAAACAGCTAAGAAAAAACCTTTTTAGCATATCCACATTTTAAGGTGAACTAAAATGGCGTTTACAACCTTTCATTGCCAAAATACAAATCACATCTCTCCTACTCCAGTTATAAATACTGTGTGGTTTTTAATCCTTACTATCCAAGTGATCAAAAGCATCTTTACACTCTGAAAACCCAGTAATGGAAGTTATCTTTAAAACTTGGTAGGAAAGACCACATTTTCACTGGGAAATGAGGCTTATACTTCAGTCACGATAGCCTTCTGGGTAGCTGTGCATGCACATTCATCTTTTGACCTGTAATCCAAACTGAAGGTAAAATCCTTTTTCTAGGTTGTTCACACGTCTCAAAGAACAGCCCCTCCACACACACACAAATACTTGGCTGTACACGGTCGAGGTGGCTGTGCCCTCACAGGGCACAGATCTTGCATACCTTATTGCCACATTTGCATGGCTCACACTGAGTACACTATGAGAGCTAATCACTGGTCCTGCAGCTTTTCTTTTTTAGCATCTGATTCTAAAACTTCCATGGTTCTGTTAAGGTCAGGAAGGTCATGATGATTAGCAAGATCCTCTTTGTTCTTTTGGTCCTGATCAGGCATGATGTCAACTTCCTCCACTATGGCACCATTGGTTAACAGAGCAGGTGGTTCACTTTCATAATCCTGGGGAGTGTTCAACATCGGCGTTTTGGAAGACTCAACCGAGGCATTTATAATTTTAGATAAGGAGCAAACTTCATCTGGCAGGGGACCATCTAGGAAGGGCAACTTCTGTATCAGCAGAAAAGAATTAATGAACAAGATGAACAAAAGCTGAGACACTCTGACATCAAGGTCTTATTTGAACACATTAATAGTACTGAAAACACCCTCATCTACCAGTTGTGAACACTGGCTTGGGATGGGTAAAAGGCTGCTAGTGGGCTGGATTTGGCCTGCCAAGCCACTAGATCAGGCCCGCAGCAGACTCACCAGGACCCTTAGGCAGAGAGCAGCTCATATAGCTCTGGATGTCTGGGGAGCGAGGAGGGAGGCTTTGAACTCTGCCCCCATCCCTCAGCAAAATTTCTCAGCTCCCACTGGCCAGTTTCTGGCCAATAGAGCGGAGAAATTTTGCTGGAGGCATGGGCAGCATGTGAAGCCTCCCTCTTTCCCCTCCCCACTATGCCCCGAGCAGACTCGTGTGGAGCAGCCATCCGACAGATTTCAGCACAGAGGCAAAGAGTGTGTTTCAGTTTCCTGCAGGGCTGCTGGCTGGGAGTAGCCTAGGTACTCTACCCCCTTTCTCCCTTCAACTACCTGCCCCAGGTCATCACCCAAACCTTCTGTACCCCTTTTCCCTTCTCCCAGGTCACAACCCTCTCCCAGATCCTGCACCTGCTCCTACACCCTTCCCTCAAGTCAGAATCCTCTCCTGCACCCTTACCCCTTCCTGAATCCAGCAACCCAAACTCCTGCCCCAGCTCACAACCCCCTCCTTCATCCAAACTGCCTGTCAGACCCCACAGGACTCCTGCATCCCAGTCCTCTATCCCAATCTCTCTTCTGCACCCAGCCTCTCACCCAGATCCTAGAAGTGCAGTCCTTGACCACTTGCCAAAATCTTGGGAGTGGAACCTCACTCTGATTCTAGGTCAATGCTCCCCAAGACTTGCATGGCATGGGGGAGCAGAGCAAGCTGGGGCTAGATTGTTCCACTTGCTGCCACTGCAGTGAAGCAGAATGCAATGGGCTGGGAGATGGATGAGGAAGCGGAGCAGGCTGCTGCATCACTCTGCTTCCTACAGCTTTTGCCACCATGGTGTGTGCGTGGGGTGGGGGGGCTATTCCTGTTGGCTCCAGTAATCCTCAGGCTGCCCTGAGCCCCATCCATAAGACTACTGAGGCAGCTGCTGTGGAGTCTCCCAAAGCTCTGGTACTAGCACCTTACATGAGTGCAGGAACTGGATTTGATAACCTCTTATGGTTCCTTCCAGTTGTATGTTACTCTTTAGAAAGCTATGGATCTTAAAGAGTCCTAAGTGGAGTGCAGGATCTGGTCTAAGAGGTAAATATAACTGGACCATTTGGAAATAGTGACCATAATGTAATGAAATGTATTACATTATAATAATAATGTAAGGAATAAGGAAAAGTTCACACAAAATATTCCTACAATATAAGAACTAGGAGTCACCAAATAAAATTAATAGTTAGCAGATTTAAAACAAACAAAAGGAAGTTTTTCTTCACTCAGCGCACAGTCAACCTCTGGAACTCCTTGCCAGAGGATGTTGTGAAGGCTAGGACTTTAACAGGGTTCAAAAAAGAGCTAGATAGATTCATGGAGGTTAGGTCCATCAATGGCTATTAGCTAGGATAGGCAGGAATGGTATCCTTAGCCTGTTTTTTTGGAATTTGGAATTTTTTTGACAGAAGAGGGATCACAAAAAGATTGCCTATTGTGGTCACTCCCTTGGGGGCACTGCTATATCAGACATATTTGGCTTATATTACCATGCTATTGTGTACATTATCATAAGCAGGACTCACATTTTCCAGTTCAGTTGCATTGTCCTCCAACTTCATCTTCTGGCTCATGCAGCTGAGGAGATGGTCCAGCACACACTGCTTTGGATGCATTCCTTTGTCAAAGCGGTTATACATTCCACACCAGAACCTCAAGAACAGAAGGAAAGGTAATTAAAACATTTGTTATGCTGTGTTAGTTGTGACAAGATTATTCTTTTTCCTGTTTAAAGAAGGTGTTTTCCACTAGTTCAGGCTTCACATTTATTTAAAAATGAATATCCTAGATTTTATAAATCTTAAAATAGGAATAAACAAGTTTTCATGAAATTTTAGAAGGGTTAAATGAAAAGTTCTGAGGATCTATATATTCTTTTCCAGGTCCAACATAGGTAGGGGATAGGGTACCAGACAAAGAGACCCACAATTGATCTGCAACGGGTTTGCACTATGAGCTTTGACAATTCAGTTCATGTATGTGCCTTTAACTTTTCCTATCTACACCTTTGTTGCCAAAGTACCTTGACTCTGCAATCAGATGTAGCACTTAGTATTATACACTAATGACCCAGAAACAGGAAGTAAAATTGATCAATCCAGATGAAAAACAAGCATCATAAACAATAAATCCATTAATTTTTATAATAATTTCAGCAGCAGCAACATACTTGTGTGTATCAGCAGCACTTTAACACAGGAAAATCACTGTTTTTTTTTTTAAATAAAAGATGCACTAACAATAATTCTCTCTACGGAAAACTCTCCACACTGGAGTGACAAGGAATTTGGAAAATTACATTTTTTGTATTTTAAATTATTCTTATTTTTTCCAGTAACAGGGAGGAAACTAGTTGAAGAGCAAATAATACTTAAAATAATAGTACTTGCACTTATTCAGCAGTTACATGTACATTTCAAACTGTTTTACCAGTTGGAAAGCATCACTATCCTCATTTTACAGATGAGGAAATGGAGTCATACAAAAGTTAAGTGACTCACCCAAGGTCACAAGATAAGGCATTTTAAGAACCACTTCCATTCCTGTGAAAAAAGCGTCCCTCCTTCAATAAGTGACTTACTGGAAACTGAAAGGGAGAGTGTTTGGCTTAAGCTCCTTGTAAGCTGTGAATCCCTTATACAGAGGATTCTTGAACTCCTGCTTCTTCTGTAATAGGAAAGGCCACAGGGAGTGGGTCTTCTCAAAGATCCTGTCAATTACAATAAAGACTAATCACTAACAGTTACAAATAGCATTAGTATAATTTTAGCTGCACTGTTCAGGATTTGAGTAGGGCTGCATAGAAGATATTTATCCTTTCTACCGTGCAATTAGCGTGCCTTACAAACACAGGCACAAGTATCCAAGCCCTGAGCTGATAATTTAAATCAGACAATGGATGGAGTACAGGGAAGAGGGAAAAAATTGACACTTGCAAGTTACTGTGGAGTTGCTATTTAAAGCACAGAGCTTTGGGGATACATTCCTCTCTGTACATGAGATTAAGTCTTTCACACTGCAGAGAACATGCAAGAACTAAGAGAATTTATCCCTTAACCTATTATTACCTTTCCAATTACATTTTAAAAATCTGAAGAGACTTCCAGACCTTTTCCCTATGAACTGCCAACTCACTTTAGATCCTCCCGTTCCCTATGGCAAGTCCCAAGGAAGTTGCCAAACTGGCACGAGTAGACATGATCATGGATTTCGAGAAGAAAACACTCATTAAATTCAAATGCACAGGGAAACTGCTGCATGAGCTGCCAGACACATTCAGTGAATTGAGTGAAGACAGGAGATACTTCCTTTGGGTCACCATCCAGATGGCCGCACCTGGAGAGTTAGAAAGAAAGTTACAAGACTGCATCCTACAACAATGAGAAGAGCTCTAACCATCATGTGACCTGATGATTTACTCTCTCTCAAAGAGAGGTGACCCCAGTAAGTCACTATGTATTCATATATGGTTTAGGTGCTGATTAGGGATGCAATAGTGTAGCTGATTAACTGATAAGTCAATACTTATTGGTTAATGCTATAGACTACACACATTTCCCCCCTCACCACCCGCTTACCAGTACATTTTTAGCAAGCGGGACAGCACACCAGCTCAGTCTTGGTTTGCACTGGGTCCAGGACCTACCCTCGCTGTGGTTCTGAATTGAAAGTATATTAGGAGCCAGGTGGGCAGGCAGCCCAGCTCAGTTCCAGCTCACACGGAGTCTGGGAGCTCAGACTGCCCCTCCCCAGATAGACAGAGGCAGCAGTGCAGGGCAACAGGCAGCCAGTCCGTGAGGGGAGCTGGTTTTTAAACTGGCTCCCCTTGTGGACCAGCTCCCCAATGGCACCCCATGCTGCTGCCTCTGATACTGAGGCAGCAGTGTGGAGTGGCTGAGGGCTCATTGGGAGTGAAGGCAGAGTGCACTGGCTACCAGCCCTGCTCCCAGGGACTACAGAATCATTGAATAACACTGAGGCAGCAGTGTGGAGTGGCTGAGGGCTCATTGGGAGTGAAGGCAGAGTGCACTGGCTACCAGCCCTGCTCCCAGGGACTACAGAATCATTGAATAACTTAAGAATTCATGAGGTTAATTGACTATTCAATTAACTGATATTTAACATCCCTAGTGCTGATATAGTTCTCTCTATATCAGTGGCAGCTGCCAAGGTAGTCAGTACTGAGGTTGAAAAGATCTGGGGCACACAGTACTGAGGCATTTGGTATGAGGGCAGCACAGTCCACCAATTTAGTGATATTACATGTCCTATCTTGGAGGCAGATATCAGGACATTGGAAGAATCTTGACAAATGAGTCTGTACTGTGAATCTCGATGGCTCATGTCCCAGTTTGCAAGATGGCAAGGATGGTGACCTGTGCACTGCAGCTCATCTCTGGAGTGGTAGTGGAAGACAAATGGGGCCCTCCAGTACTGGTGATCCAACACTTCAGTTTGCAATCTTGGGTCACCAGGGGTACATTTACACAGCAGAATTATTTTGGAATAACATCCATTATTCTGAAATAACATTATGCGCTAACAAGAAGCCCATTATTTTGAATGTATTTTGAAATAACAGGCTTCTTACTACGACTTCCTGTAAACCTTGTACGAGGATTAAGGAAGTCAGGGGAATAGCAATTTATTTCAAAGTAAGTGCTGTGTAGATAGTGCCAAATTTTGAAATAAGCTATTTCAAAATAAGCTACACAATTTGCATAGCTCAAATTACATAGCTTATTTAGAGGTACACACAACTGTGTAGACATACCCTAACCGAAAGACTGACCAGATGACTGAAGCTTGGCTGTGAAGGCCTGCTTGTTAGCAAAGGAAGGATTATTTTCCCTCTATATATCTATAAACAAAAGGCCCAGAACGAAGGAGGAATCAAAATAGTTTAGCAAAGTAGATAATTCTACTACAGCACTGAACATTCCACACTGCCAGGAAAGTCACACTACCTTAAAATCCACAGAAACAAGTAGTGATTTTTCAAGTTTGCTAGGGCAAATGAATTGTTCTATTTTCCCCAAGCTAATGCTGCTAGAGAGCAAACTGAACACATACAGGGAACAAAATTATAGCCAGTAGCCTTTCATTCCAAGTACAGTCTTTCATTCCATGTACAGCTAACCAAATTACAAAGGGGAAATTTGCCTTCCCATGAAGCATCAGGCACTAGAGGCAGAATAACTATCTGATCCTATGTTTCCAGGCAATGGAGAAATTTCACTGTTTCCTAAAAACTTGACAAAGTGTGCAAAAGGTAATTTATATGTTATGCTACACTTTCTTTATAATACTGGTAAAAGGCACATTCTGTTTCTGGCTTTAGAAAAAACAAAAGATTAAAACAGTCCTTCCCACAGAGGGAATAACTGTGTAGTTTGTTTGTTTGGGCTGCAGTTCATCTTTGCTTAAGTCCTTCTAAGGTAACATTATGGGGATCTCTACATGAGGTTTTCCCAGTACAGTATGTCTTACTCCAAGAAAAAAAAATGTGACCACTATTAAACAGGATTATTTTCATATTGAGATAATCATTAAATGAAGTTCAGTTTAGTATAAAATCTCAGTTCTTAACCATTTAATAGCACAGAATAATCAGGCCATTTCTTTCTATTATTAGTTTGGACCAGGAAAATAGATATTTACTATTTGTTAATTAAATTACTATGCAGTGCAAATGGACTACCAATTAGCGTTATATTTTTATAAACCCATGGAATGCAAGTCTTAAATTGCTTAGTACCAGATTTGTGGGCTGAAGTTAAAGCTGCACATACTCTGTAAACATTTGTTGGCATCTGACCCCAGCCCTAGTCAACACAGAAGCGTAAAAGTCCCTCCAAAATGTGAGCGCTTCACTCCGAGAATCAATGTAATATCAATCCATTGTACAGATGGAGAAATGGAAACAGGATTAAAGAATTTGCACAACATTTTGAAAATCAATGGAAGAATATAGAAAATATGCAAAAAAAACCCCGCCCTTAAGGGTTGATTAATTCTTATTCTAAATATATACACATTGCATTTTACCTTCAACAGTATTCCTTTGTTTAATCCCAAATATAATCTGAGTATAATCTACTTTTACCTGTGTGAAAACTTGTGGCCCATCGCAATCCATTCCTTTTCTATTAGAACCTTCAGTTTCAAAAAAATAAAGTAAATGAAAAACTATTAAGTTGCTTGGCAAAAGTGAAATGATGCCTTAATACTATACAATTTTTGTAGTTAGACTTAGTGGTTTGTCATACCCTGCGTATGTATTCAGAAAAGATTGATGAAAGTGATAATCTGATTTTTGGAATCTGAACTATGTTCCATCACCAGTATCATATAGTTGTTGGAACAGTAGGTTATTTTGAATCTTGATAGTCCTATGGGAATCTCGGTGTTGTCACATTACTGAACTTGGTTCTTAAATTAATAAAGCAAAATCACCAGCAAATACATTACTGCCCCCCAGGAGACAAATAAACCCTTTCAAAACATAACCGCACAGATCAGATGTCTTGACATTTTTGCCTGAGGTATGCACTAAAACCATCACTGTTATTCTACTACACAGCCACTTCATTCTGAAGACACACAAAAATACTGTGATAATCAGTGCAGCAAAATAGAATTTAGAAAGTTCTCATTTTATTTTTGAGAACACATAAATGGAAATGTAAAGAGTATTCTATCAAATAGTACAGGCCTTAGATTCTGGTCTTAAAAATAGCTGGATTTTTTTGTTTACTTAATTGAGATGTTTCTATTTTACATAGGTATAACTGCAAAACCCTTTTCAAAGAAAATGTATGGGAGCATCTTAGGAAAGACATGTACAGCAATGCGCTGAATAAATGAATCAATGTCTTAAAGGAGTATCTTTTTAGACTGTATTACATAGTCAGTCCAAAAGTCATTATACAGGAATTTAAAGAACAGAAGATATCCCTAAACTCATATGCGGTATCTCTTTGGTGAATGCATCACTTTGTTTTAATGGCTTCAAGATCTTTCAGGTATTTATAATATTAATGTAGGAATGACTAGCATTTTATGATTCGTAAGGTACACTTTGGATATTACAAAAAGGAAAATATTTTCTTTCATATTATGTTAGCATCCAGTGGCCCTGATCAGAATCAGGTCCCATTGTCACTGCAATATTGTACCCTGTACCAGACTGGCCATACTGAGGTCTCAGGTTCTGATAGAAACTTTACAGTTATTTATTATTAGTAGTAGCGTAGCATCCAGGAACCCTACTTCTGGACCAGCACACCATTGCTAAAGCACTGCACGGACACAAAATTTTGTATCTGCGTCCTCAACTATAGCTACAATGAGTTGCGGATTCCTGCGCATATCCACAAATTTGTAGGGTTCTAGATATAAAATTTGTATCTGCATCAAAAAAATGAGCTGCATATGTGGATACCTGTGGATTTGCAAGGTTCTACCCATCATACAGATAAAAGAAAGCTGCAGCAGAATTTAGCAGCAAAAAAGTTAGCAATTGACCTGAGGAAATAATCTGTGTGGTGCAGCATAGTTGTATCTGTCCAGGAGAAGACAAACAAAAGTTGCAATGTTTTGCATTACTTTCAGTTTCTTTGCAAGGTTCTTAAGAGCAGCATCCCATTTCTAATGGGTTTGTAAGAAATGCAGACGGACAGAGATGAAGCACACCATGTAAAAGTTACATTTTACAGTGACAATTTGGCACAAAAACCAAGGCAATTAATTTGTTAACAGCAAATAGGTAAAATTCATCCTGTGCAGAGGGCTTTAAAGATTAATGCATGGGTTTCATGCTGGCGTTTTGCACAAGGCAAATTTCACCCTAACAGTTTAATATAACGGATCTTAAACAAGCTTCCCTCCCATCCTCTTTACATCTTCACAGCCTATATTCGTGCACATCTGGCTGAGATGCCTCATTAGAGGTTCTCTAGTGGCTATGCAGGGATATAGAGATTTGATTCATAAATCATGTACTAAGTTTTTGTACTTAAGCTATTCAAAGCAATTATAACTTAATATATAAATAACTTTGCCTGTGTAGGTCACTGACAATAAAAACCATCTACTGCTGAAAATGATCTAAAGTGTTTAATGAGGGTTTGTTGACATTCTAAACCATTTTGCAAAGATACAAAGAATATTTTTAAAACCCAAAGTATTTCTGTTCTTACCATTAGTCCTTTAAATGTTCTATAAAATGGGTCTAAGAGGAGGCTAGCCAGTGAACAGACCTGAGCCGTACGATCCCACCCATCTGAGCAGTGGACTAAGACACTGGCTTTTTCGTCTTTCACTGCCTGCAGAAAAGAGAATAAAATGGAACAAAATTTAACAGCTTTCTAATTAAGATAGCTAAACACAATCCCTTTATCTCAAGTATGCTTTATCTTTAATAGAATTACCAATAGGCGCATTACAGAACAAATACAGATACATGGTTCAAATGTTTCTCATCTCTTAATAGTTTTCAATATAACTTTAAATGTTACGTGAGCGGGGGGAAAATGGGGGAGGAAAACAAACAGCAAGGAAAGATCGGAATGAGGAAAGACAGATTTCAGCAAAATGAACATGCAACTACTCAGGGTATTTCCAGAGACATATCATTCATATTTGTATTTGTTGCTGACTCACTTCTTGAGGGCATTATAGGGGAAGAAATCTCAAGGAAGGATGTAAATGAGAAAAGGATAGTGGCAGGGTGAACTGGGGCTGGAAATTTTTCTAGGAGAATTAGGGGACAGAGGTAGATTATTGCCCCAACTTCCTCCCATATTTCTCTCTCCTTTTCTCTGTGCTAGCAACAGAAGACAAATATAAAATCATTTCTCTTAAAAAAAAAAAATCAGGAAGAGAATTCACAATGGATCAACCCAAAGACGACAAAATATTTATACCAGGCAATTGATTTCTACCAGTCATTTCCTGCATTCCTTGTGTGGCTACTGAAGAATTGTTTGCTGCAGCAATTTGCTTCTTCTGATTGATCTGCAGCATAGTGATGGTCCTTACAACAGCCCATGGAAAAAGAGGGCTGTGGTAAAAGTTAAAAATTATACTGTCTCTGAAGCATATAGTGACAGATGACAAACCACACAAAGAAACCTTCAGAGCAGAACAATTTTTGATAACTAATGAAAATGTTAAGAAAGTTGTTTGCAATATTAATTATACATGAGAACACATAGGTGTCTTAACTATTCACATTGAAGAAAATAAAATTAATCAAGACAAAAGAATGGTAGGCAAAATTGCTCATTAGAATATACTAGATAGGTCGTTGGATAATTTCAGTTCATGTAGCAAGTCAATATATTACAGTCATATTAACATAGTCAAAGAGACAATTAGGTCAACACGAGTGTGTGCGTGTGTGCACACATGCGCACTTTAAATTTCTACTAAGGAAAATTATACCTTAGCAAGAAAGACACCAGCATCCATTACAGCTTTAATGTGCCGCAACCATCCTGAGTTCTCCAGGCCAGTAAGGAAGTCACTCATTGAAGGAGATTTTGCTTCACACACTGAAAACACAAAAGAATTAGCTGAGATGACCCAAATGAAATGCACAGTAAACATGTTTTTCCTATCCCTTCTTGTCCCTCAAAAAACGTTAATCCTCCTCCCTTGAATAATAGTGACAAAACTTGGTTGATCCTGAAAGCTAATGTTCTCTGAATATTGAAATACAAGAATCAATCTTCTCTTTTTAAAGAGATCACACAGTGTGGGTAATGCGTGTAAACACACAATTAAAATTCTTTAGTAGAAGGCACTAACATTTGAGCCCAGAGTATATTTTCCCTCCTCCTTTCACCACTATAATTAATATTCATATCACAAGAGCTCTCTCCAATCAAGGCAGGTGATTAAGGTATTATGTGTTTACTCAGCCCTTCATTATGGGACATCATCTCACATATTCAGACACCACCAGCATATAATCACTATAAGAAACTGATTAAATCATGGGGAGTTCTGATCTCTAACTTTGAAGAGGGCACAGATTATATATTGAAAAGCATATTAAAATAATTATAATTGTATAGTTCAATAGTTCCTCAGCACCTGTGAGAGAGACTATCCCATTGTCAAGGCCTTCTACCCAAGGAGATAAAATAGGAGTAAAACTAGCATTTAATCTGCCTTTTCACTATTTCAGCATAAGCCAGTCTTTCAGCATGGGGTCCTCTAAAGCAGTACTTCTGCATATGCCAACCCCTCTATCCAGGTTAGTCTGATTTGTCTCCAAGGCCACTATGAAACCCTGGATCCTATCAGATCAGCTGGTATGGACATCAATTATTTGATTATTCCACAGTATTATACTGGCAACTAAATTAACTTAAATATTTTGAACAACAGTGTTTGTACCATGTTCCATGATATGAGGTAATGGGACAAAAGAGAAGGAATTATGGTATCAGCTTCACTATGTTCCCCAGCTTCTGCTAGCAGAAGGATATTAATACTACAGTGAATAAGTCAACAGGAAGAACTGTATCAATATCCTCACTCTTCTCTTTTATCACTTAGAGTCTGAGTTCCTTTTCAGTTTTACACCAGAGCAGTTCTACCAGCTTCAGTGGCATTGGTCCCAGTTTACACCAGTGTAAAGGAGAGGAGAATCAGGCCCCTAATTTCCACTGGCCCAGAGGAGTATCATCCCAAAACACACATAGCAGTAAAAGGCTCTGGGAATGTGCATGCACATTTAAGAACAAATTTGACTGAAGTTAAAAACAAATAAAAAAATAAAAACTAAGTAGTGCAAGTTAACTTTTAATGGAAAAAGGCCTGATCATCTTAATTGTTTTCATTTTTGTATGTGATTAAGAGATTTACTTTTATTACATACAATGTGCTTAATAATAGTTTCTATTTTAGATGCATGGCAAAACGGAACACAGTATCTCTTATCAGACCCTTTTTAAAAGTTTGCAGTATTTTTGCATTTGTGCCAGTTTCAGGATATTACAGACACAAGGTGGGCCTCTTTTATTAGGCTAACTTCTGTTGGAGAGAGAGATAAGATTTCAAGCTTACATAGAGCTCTTCTTTGAAAGCTTGTCTCTTTCACCAAGAAATTTGTAAAACACATTTTATATCAGCTAGAATGCTGTAGCACTAAGTCTTTTCTATAAGTCAATCACAAAACCAGGTATTTACTCTCTTAATTGGTTTTCCATTCTATGCCCCAAAGTGCACACGCAGTTGTGTACACAGGATTTGTCCATTGTGCAGTGAGAGTTATGTCAATAGAAGGCAACAAACAACACATGGACCAGTCAAAGGGAAGTACCATACCTTCCAAAAGTTTCTGCAAGCTGTTCCGCATTACGTGGATGTTTTCTATGCCAATGAATTTAAAGCGAATGTTGTCATAGTTATCTTCATTCTCATAACCCTTCCCAGCAGCTCGATTTGCCATAGCATTTAACTGTACAAATCAAGTGAAAAAATGCTTCAGGCAAGCCCGGTTTGCAAATGCTTTTAAGTTCACAAAAGCGTATGTGATGGTGAATGTTGTTATTTTTGCTCATGAATTGTTCCTAGCAGTTTTACTAAAATGATAGTGTGTGTACAGTCAATTAACCCTAGGAAAAGCCAAGGAAGAACCTGTGTGCTGATTTCAAGCCAACTAAGACAGGTAGCATTACAAGCTTGTTTACAACTGAGACTCATTTTCTCTTTTTATTTGAGAAGCTATTTTAAAAGAAAAAGATAAATGCAACAGTTACATATAAACATAGGTCTTTCATCTAGAAATATTCTTATAAAGCACCATAAATGTGCATAGTGCTACATAAACACTAAAAGGATTCCAAAGCATTTTACAAGAACACAGTTTGTTCAGTCTATCAATAAGTGCAGTCAAGTCAAAAATGGAAAATTAATGGAAAACAGCCGCAGTTCCAAGAAGAAATAAGAAGGGATGTGGATTACCCAGAATGGAACTGAGTCAGGCCCATATAAAAGTTACCATTAAATCTAGAATGGCCACAAGTGGAGAGGACTCCTGTTTTAACTCTCAATCCAAAAAAACATGGATTTTGGAAGTGTAGTAGTTTGCCTCCATGGAAAGTAATCGGGTAGAGAGATTCAGATACACAGCCCTAGCAGCACAGAGTGACAAGAAATCTAGGTTATTTCATTCTACTTAAATAAGCTAGACACTGACTGGTGAGAGGGAGAAATGTGTCTAATTATAATCTCCCTTGCCACCGAGTGGATTATCACTAAATGTCATTATTTTATAAAATACTGATGGAACAACTGTCAAAATACAAGCAAGAGCCACACAATTGCTAGATGAATGCATTTACTACAAACAAATGATTATGAAACAAACAGCATAACAAAATTAGCTCTAGGAAACGCCACCATACCTAGCAGTCAAAAACTTGCTGAAATATCCTCTATATTTACCTGGTGGTGACACCTAATTTGCACCCATTTTGTTCCAATAACCAGTCTAATATGGGTAAGGCCAATATCCTCGAATAGTAGGTGAGCTATTTCAGATGCAAACTGACCAGCAGTATATATTGGCCTTTTTTCTTTGATAGCTATATAGTGTACAGATCCCCATGTTCTAATTTCTTTGGGTCTAAAACTCTTAATGAATAGGCCCAGGCCTGCCAATGAGGGGAAGATGACAAAGGGGGCAACAGCCCTGAGGCCATTCAGCTGTGAGGACTACCTGGGAGGGTAACAGTGCACTCCAGGCAATGGTGAGGGCTGGCTACCCCCAGCCCTGACCCTTACCCCTGAAGCCCCACCTTTTCTGACAGTGCAGAGCTGGGCCCCCACAGCTTGATCAAATAAAAATGAATGGGAGAAGGTGAGATATTAGCACCAAGCACAGCAGCTGGATATTATAATTAAGGAATAGTGAGGTAGACACCAGTGTCATGAGGAAGGAAGGAGTGGCCTCTGACATCCCCCCACCATAAATTTAGCAGATGCACCGCACATGAGGGATGTTAAGAAGCAGGTATTTCACTAATCATGTAGTAGATAAAATTTTAACAACTACACAATTAATTGATAAGGGAACGCGGCTCAATCTTGGCTCATGCTGGGTATGGGAGATACATTTAAACTGCAGAGCCGCCACGAGGATAGTAAAAGCTGGGTGGACAGGCAGCCCGGTTCCTACTAAATTTAAATTGCAGGGCTGCAGCAGCGGTAAGTTCCGGACTTTGTGTGAGCTGGGACTGAGCTGGGCTTGCGGCTGGTCCAGCAGCCCCTGTCCACGTGGGCCCACCACAGGCAGAGGCTGCTTTGTGGCAGCCTCCCCATATCCTCCCACAAAGAGGCAGCAGCACAGGGCATGGGGGGCAGGCTGCCCTGCAGAGATGGTGCTGGGGGGAACTGGCTTTTAAGCTAGCTCCCTCCAGCACTGACACCTGCTCCCCCCACCCTTGCTGCCTCTGATACAGAGGTAGCAAGGGGGGGGATATGAGTAGCCAACTCGATTAATTGATAAGCCTAGTGTTGACATAAAACGCAAACTTTAGGAACTTCCATAAATCTCATTAAGTGATACCTTTGGTCTTGTGTCTACAACATACATGAATGGACTCCCCAAGTTGGCTTGTCTAATTGCCTGCAGCATCTGTTCATCTTCCAGACAACGAGCACTGAATCCAGAAAGAGGCTGGCTACAGCGACATATGGCAGCCTGAAACACACAATAGTTTACTGCAGAGAAGAGATCAAAACCAGGAATATTTATTGCTCTGAAAGACCCACTAAAATTTGATTGGGGTGCTTCTAAGCCTGGCCCTGTTTCACTGTAAAATTTCCATCAAGTGGACAAATTAGTAAAAAGGTCCAGCTCATAATTCTAATCTTCTTAAAAGCTTTGACAGTCTAAAGTGGGTAGTGCTTATACAAAGACAATTACCCACTTTCCTCTCAAAAGCATTCATCTTCTGCCTAATGGCTCCTATCTTTTGTAATAATTGGGCCTCCCAATTTACCCTAGTTGTGCACTCAATTTTAAAAGTATGCAAAAGTTCAAAAAATGTCAAAACAACATACATAAGCAAATGTAGAAGGAAACAGATGCAAAAGGGAGATTAGACTAATTCAGTTATTCTAACAAAAAGGCTAAATTGATCTTATTCAAGGACTGTCTTGACATTATGCTTGCTAAAAAAAAGATGATGTGGAGCTGGAAGTTAATGAGCTAAACTTGAATGTCAGATATTAGGCCTAACTGATGAACAAAATAATGAAGGGTTGGGCTATTCATCTTATCACTCCATTTTTGGGTCCTTAAAATAAAGATTTTGTGGGGAAAGTACTAGAGAACCAAAACTAAAGAACAACAGATGGAAAGAACATAGGAGGCTACTGGTGTGAGCATCATCCTGGCTGCGCACTCACCGTTTTATTGGTCTCCAGGCCTTCACCATTCTGATAGGTGTTAGGATCAGAAACAGTCAGAAATAGAGAGACTCGGATAACACCACCATCCTACCAACTCCAGTGTTAGGATCAGAAACAGTCAGAAATAGAGAGAGACGGATGACACCACCATCCTACCAACTCCAGTCGAATCCCAGACACCACATGGGTGACAGTTACCTATCTTTAATACCATCTAACAACTATTGAGCACAGGGACTTTTCTTTCTAAATCTGGATGTCAACAAAAGCAACAGCATCTCCAGCCCATCTCAACTAACTTCCCCAAAAAGACAGTTACCGCTACCTTTCATTCCATCTAAGAGGAACACTAGGGTTGGTTTTTTTTTTCTTTTTAAACCTCCTTCCAGCTTCACGGAACATGGGATGTTGCTAAAATTAAAGCCCCATTTAATACTTCAAATTTCCATATGCTTTGTTTTGCCTTCTTCTCTGTATCTTTAAGAAAAGGTTAAAAGGATTTTTAATGATTTGTTCCAAGCTATTTCCTCCTGTTAAAAATTCAGAAAATTTAACTGAGTTAAGCTGCAATTTGTTAAAGATTGTCCACTATAACTTAGTTTACAATGCCAAAAAGGCATTTCTTACAATTGGTCAAAGTGAGATTTCAAAGAGGATGTTTGAAAGGATCATGTTTTTTATGTGGATTTAGAGGGCAACTTTTACCAAACGATTCTTTAATTTGGGGAAAAGGAGAAAGTAACAAAAACTCACTCAACTTCTAAAGTTGTGTTTGCTTAGAAATTTATTCAAACCTATAGAATAGTAGTTGCACTTGTATACTGTATTGCCCATACAAGAATCTCAAGTGCTTTTAAAAACAATTCATCCTCAACTTCTTATGAAGTAGGTAATCGTTACCTATCTCTCTCAGATTATACCAGGTCAAACAGCAAGTTAGTGACAGAGAACTCCTAG